AGCCCTCACCTTCTCATGCACAGCAGCTCAGCAATGAAGACCTAATTGGCTTGCAGGAGAAGAGGATGCATTGGACTGTTGTCATGGAAACTGCCCCTCCCACCGCATTTACCATTCAAAGGCTTCTTTGGGCATTTGTGTACAACAAATTAGTGAAGGGAGATTTCCAGACTTGTGGGCCTGGTTTTGAATGCAGTTTGAAGGTGCTTGGAGGCACGAAGAATGCCTGTGGCTTCTGCTGGGAGATTACGAGGAACAGAACAGTGTTAGGCTCCAGCTTCTGGGGAAGGCTGATTTGTTGAAGATTTGGAAGGTCTCGGCTCTGCTTGTAATTTTCCTTCCTTCCTCAGCTTCCACTGATGGTCATCAATCCACAGAGCTTGCTGGTCCCAGGGGTGGTTTATGTTGCCCAGCAAAAAGCAGGAACTCCTCAGGCAGGATATGTTCTCATCTGGACTCTAGCGAAAGCCAAGACCACTGAAGACAGTCCATTAGAACGGTAGGTGGGGTGAGGCATCAGAAGACAACTCAACGCCCTTTTGCCCTTTCGAGGCTGGGGGAGGGGTCGGTGAGAGTGAAAGGTGCCACAAGGAATGAAAACAAACCATGAGCACCGCAGACAGCACCCATGCTGACGCTGGTGCTCGGGGCTAGCTCGGAATGAATGAAAACCATGAGCAAAGCACCCAGGTTGGTGATGGTACTGGGGCTAGCTCTACCCGTTCTAGGATTCCCAGCGCTGGTAATGGCCACTCCAGATGGAAGAAAGGGCCACTGGCCTGTCACTTCCAAAGGACCATATTTCTGAGGCACTGGGTTCTAAACACTGTGGTTTTAGGGTTTTTGGTGCCCCCCAAGTGTGATCCTGAGATTGACGTGTGACCTTACAATTGCCATAGCCACAGGTGTTTGGACTGCCACTGTGGAGGAAGTCCCCATCATTTTGATTAGGTGGGAGCCCCAAAGTACACTTTGTTTGAGTTTTAAAATGTACCCTGACACCTGGGACCGACACAGCATGCGTGTGGAGGTCAGAGATCAGCTTGCAGGAGTTTCTTCTCTCCTTCCACCATGCACTTTCCATCAGGCTTGGCAGCAAGCACCGCTACCTGCGAGGCCCTCTTGACGGCCCAGAATTACACTTAAGCTTAATGACCTGCTATGGCATTTACTTGGACACGTGCAAGTCTGTGGGTAAAGTTCACACCTCCTACACGTTTCTGCCCCACGCTTTAAAGCCTCAGTCCATTCAAGTCCTTCATAAAAACCACACGCCAAAAAGAGAACATTTGTGGCAGTGTCGTTACATTGTTTTTATTTTGTCCACTTGGTAAATCATCAAGTTACCCCTCCTATCTATGGCGACTAAGTTTCAAGACTCCCTTGGGTATCAAAATTCTGGGATGCTTAAGGATCTTATAAAACACGGTGTGGAAGCTCCCCGTACACTCTAAACCATCTCTAAAATTCAAATGCTATGTAAAAACTGTTTGATTTAACAAATAATGGTAAGAAAGGAACTGAATGTGTTTGGTAAATGTGCAATCTTTTTTCAAACACTGTTAATCTGAGTGGCTTACACCTATAGATATGGGACCTGCTGACCTTACCAAATTATGCTTTATTTTCATTTAGCTTGTCCTCCTAACAAATTACAGCATTTTTATGAAAGAAAATCCATTTCTTGTAGAGGTACTTTGTGACTTTTCATCTGTGGGGAACAAGTATCAAACATTCTAAGGTCTGTCCCAGATGGTGACTTCCAAATCAGGGACCGCATGGATGGCTCTCTACTGCCCTCCAGTGGGAGATCTGGACTGAGTATTTGCGACACCAACTCCGAGGTAGAGGCTGCGTTCAGGAATAAGCTAGCTGCTGCACACTGGTTTCTTTTCACTTGGAAGGGAAATTTCAAGACGGCATTTAAAGCAAGTCTCTCTGACAGACGAAAACATCATAAATTTATGTTTGGACATAAACATCTCCAGCGTCTTCTTAGAGTTTCTGTGGGAAAACTCAGAGATTGCAGGGGATGGGACCCCATATCAAATGAGCAAAATAAAAACAATCTAAAAGATGTATCACAAGGATGGGGAGATGGCTCGGTGGTTAATAGCATTTGCTCTTCTTCCAGAGGACCAGAGTTCAGTTCCCGCTGAGTTACATCACTAACCCACTTTCACTTTGAGAGGCAGTAATTTTATTGCACTTATTACATGTCAAGCACATGCTACACAATTATATGATCATTTTAACAGAGTATGTTTTACTCACCCTTAGACAACTTCATATGTGTTGTCTTGATTTTAGGCAGCCCCAACTCACCTCTTCCACTCCCCCAAGGAACCCCATCTCCTCCTTCCCACTCCCCTCCCAGGGACTCCATGTCCTTCCCCAATTCCTCTAGACACTCAGCACACTTCTCGCCTCCGTGTCCTTCCCGTGTGTTGATGACCCACTGAGCACATTCAGCGCCGCCTGCTGGAATGTTCGCAGACCTTTGCAGTAGCTACAGCTGCAGCAATTTCACTGGGCTATGGCCAAAAGACAGCATTCCGCAGGCTCTGCCCCATTCTCCAGCTCTTAGCTTTTTCCACCCTTTGTCAGAGACGTCTCTGAGCCTTGGGGTGGGGAGTGATGCAGACGTCTCTTTAGGGCTAAGCACTTAACAGTCACTTATTGCCAGCTCTTAGAGTCTCTGCATTTAACTGCTGCTCACCACAAAAAGAGGCGCCTCTGGCCATGGCTAAGGACAGTACCAATTCATGGACAGAAACATCCAGAAAGAAGTATGATAATGTGTAGTTTAGCAAAACAACAGTTGCAGGTTCTTTCTTGGGGCCATGACCTCCCAAGCCAGGGGATTTACAGGACCGGGTTCACAGGACCAGGCCTGTATTCAGAAGTAGCTGGTTCCCCTCATAACTGTCATGCCACCACACCGTCGGGCACATCGGACCTGTCAGGGTTTTCTGCAGGGATATCGTGGATGCGCTCTCTTCCCCAACAGCCTGCACAGCGCCAGCACCTTCTGCCACTATGAAGGCTGGTCATCAGGGAGGAATTTTCCAGGTCAGTTCTGCTTGGATGTTTCTACGTTCAGCTACCAAAGTGTATAGCATCTTCAGCAATATTGTCTTACTACTTAGTTTTGGTGGGCAACCAAGAACAGTATCAATAACCTGTATTGTTTGGAGGGCCTCTAGGGCTTCCCTGACCCTAAGTCATAGGAAGCTATCCCATGCCTAGTATTGAGATTTTCATTGAATAAACCATGTCTTCTGGGGGAATAATCGTCCATCCGTGCAGGGTATCTATATTCAAAATTCATATATAAAAAATTATATATGTATTTTCTTTTGAAGATTTACTTCTTTTATGTGTATGAGTGTTTTGCCTGCATATGTGGGTATGCTATCTGCATGCATTACCTGTGGAGGCCAGAAGAGGGCCTTTGGAATTGGAATTACAGACACTTAGGAGCTCCCAGGTGGGTGGATGCTAGGAATCAAACCTAGCCTTCTTCAAGAGTAACAAGTGCTCTTATTTTCTCAGCTGTCTCTCCAGACCCATTATATATTTTTAATTAGCTTACAAAGGTAGTAGGTTTCCATAGGGATTATTGTTATGTCCAAATCTGCAAAGTCCCCGCAAAAGCCAACAAGGAGACCGAGTGCCGTATGTAAAAACAAAGAGACTTTATTTTAATCTAGTTTGCAAACTCGGTCTCTCCGCATGTCCAACATATTGGAATAACCGGAGAGCCCCAAGCTCAGTTAGAATTGGGTTTTTATAGTAGTAAAGGTGAGAGTGAGGGGTTGAGGTTTAGAACCCCTGATTGGCTGATATTTGTCTAGGGGTGTCCTGGTGGGTGTGTGCTGGCAGGTGGTCCTATCTACAGTGGTTGGAATGCTAGGCATTTCCTTTGGATGGTCTGTTCATGGGTGGTGCTCGGTAATCTCAGTTTGTGGTTCTTTCTGCAACCAGGTATTGCCTCAAGCCTCTTATTAAATTTATCTTATTAAATTTATCGATAACCGAGTTTTACTCTGGCAGGTGATAAAGGTTGGAACTAAAGAACCTCCTTTGGGTGACCTGCCCATATTTAGCTTATCATGGCTGGCCCCCATAGTTATAATACTTTGACCGTATTTCCTAGCCAAGGTGATGATTTAAAATATTTTGACTGTCTCCAATCAGGGACAATGCTAACATTACCTCGCTTAACTTCTAAGACCCGTATTACCAGCTACAGTGCCACAAGTCTGTAATTCTACCACTTGAGAGTCTGGGGTCTGGTGAGATAGCTCACTGGGTGGGTAAAGGAGCCTGCTGCCAAGCTGGAATTAGAGCCTCAAGACCCACACACTGGAAGGAGAGAACCAGCTCCCACAAGTTGTTTTCTGACCTCCGAATGAGTCTGAAGTCATTCATACATACATACATACATACATATCACATACATACACATACATACATAGCACACCCTAGCCAGCACATTCTACACAGTAAAACCATGCCTCGGAAAATAAATAACAACAAAAAAGTTTTGCTTTTGCTTTTTTTTGTTTTGTTTTTAATTTAAAAACTACAAATATGGAGATGCAGTTGGAGACATGGCACAGATGCTAAGGGGACTGGCTGCTCCTGCAGAGGGCTTAAGTTCGACTCCCAGAACCCACTTAGTAAAACTTTAACTCCGGTCCATGGGATCCGACTCCATCTTCTGATCTCTCTGGGTACTGCGTGCACACAATGCACATACATACATTCAGACAAAACACAAATACGCGAAAAAAAATAAATTAAAAAAACTATTCATAATAAAGCTGGGGCAGGCCTCTCTTCTGCATGCTGGCGTCTGCGGCGACTCTGCCTCCATTAGCATTACCGTTCGCACGTGGCTTGCTCTCCGAGGTGCAAGCGGCCCGGAAAGCCTACGCCCTACCTATCTTCTGCCCAACCAAGGGAACAAGGAGGGACATCCGCCGGCGCCGAGCCTCTCCCGGAAGTGACGTCGGAGTGTCAACATGCAAGATGGCGGCCCATCACCGGCAGAACACAGCCGGGCGGAGGAAAGTGCAGGTATGGCGGCCCGGCTCCGCAGCCTTGGCGACGCCGCCGTCGGGTCCGTTTCCCCCGCGGGCGGGCGGATGTCTC